GTACGTGTTTGCCTTCACTACAAGATGGTCCCCAGAAGGGAAATTAATCTGAAACAAAATGATAGCTACTTTCACGAGTACACCAAATACCAATCACATCGAATTGGACACTAACAACTATCACAATTGGGTGTTGGATAGAAATGTTCTGTTTCATGAAACAGCCATGTGGTTTATAGATGTTTGACACGTTTTAATGCTGTGTTTAAGATAATGCTATCTGATAAACACGTGGATAAGACACTGTATGATAAACTCGTGGTAATGATATTGGTGTCTTATAAACCCGTGATTAAGATATTGATGTCTGATAAACTCACGTTTAAAATATTGATGCCTGATACACGCGTGGTAAAGATATTGATGTCTGATAATGCCGTGGTTTTGATATTTATGTCTAAAAACCCATGGTCACTCTATTGATGTCTGATAAACCTATGGTCAAGATATTGTTGTCTGATAATGTCGTAGTTAAGACATGTGTATCTAATGAACTCGTGGTTGAAATATTATTTGCTAAACACATGGTTAAGATATTGTCTTATATATATTATTGTGGGTAAGATTAAGGAGTATTATATTGATTAATTCATTAGGAAAATGTTATATCACAGACCTTTGAGAAAATAATGTATGATGTTGTTTCTTCTAAGACAATGTTGCCTTATAGTTCATTTATTTATCTTGCTTTGCAGATTTACCTAATTCCGTTAGTTACCGTAAGTCCGAATTGATAGTCTTATTGGTCCCTTTATACTCACATCAAACTGTTTTCCAGTAGAATCTTTGTCAACTGTCGTTCCCTTTAACGGCCAATGAGAAAGGTGTGGGGCTGCCAACTGATTAAGGCGTTTAGCACACATGTCCACTTGTACAATGTCGTTTCCCTCACGAGCTATTACAGCGCAGATGCAAGGCATGAACGAGCCACAACCCCATGTCCGAATTTGGACCTATAAATAAAATAAAAACAAACGGTACAATAAATAATTTATGTATCTTTTATACAATATTTAAATCCCTGCAAATCAAATGAGGGATGTATACAACTTAATTTAAAAAAAAAAAAAAAAACACGAAGATGAAATAAAAGATTTAAAGGATGAAAAAAATGCGCCACGACTTCCGGATTTTTTCCATCCACTTGTAATCGAAATATATAAACGACTTCAAATTAAAGGGGTTTGTTTTTCTTTTTGTATTTAGAAAAACTACTGGCATAGCTCATTGCTATAGGATGAATATGTCGTCAAGAATGAATATTGCTAGTCGCAAAACTGCGGAAAACGTTTTACCGATTTCTTAGCATTATATATGATGATAATCTTGTTCCCAGGATGTAACTGGTGATATGTTTACTCCATCAACACGGATGTTACGATTGTATAATTTTATCATTTACAATAACAATGCCAAAAACAACAAAAGAAAATAACGAATTATCAAACGGGGTATTAATTCAAACTCCAAATCGATGAAAAGGCACAAAATAAAGCAAGATTCAAAAGGAGAATAAGACCAGGTATTTCAGAAGGGTATGCGTAATCTGCTTCATTGACGATACCAGAACTATTGATATTGGTCAACCAAAGTAAGTTCTGAAAACAACAGCACCACCAGGCATATTAATTAGCATTGAATAGGTCCTGCTTCATAAAAGAGTTTGAAAACCCAGTATTTGGGGATGTAGGTGTATTTCCCATTGTTAATACGTTTTCAGTGCCTTAAGAGCCATATGCTTTTGATTTGGTATTTGTATATCGCAAATGAAAATATATATGAGATAATTGTGTCGACCATAAAACTTGAAATTATCATCGTCAACTCGTTTCTTTCGAAATCACGTGATGTGAGTTTTTCTATCAGCTGCTGACACCTTGAACGGAAATTGTAATATAAGGAACAAATTAACCGAATCGAAATTAAATGCGACATGTCAACAAGGTCTGGGAAGCAGGTAGGTTGTTTAGTATGAACAATGGACAAGATAATTAAATGTCTTGTTATTTAAAGACAAAGCATTATGATTACATGTATCTTAAAGTAAATTGAAGGACTTGATCGTTGTTACCTGTATTGATAAATTCTTTTATGGATCAAGGCTCGTTTTGAAACAAAACAAGATTACGCAAGACAATGACACAGTTTGCTCCTGTAGGTATGCCAATAGTCTTAGTGATCAAAATTACATAATATTTCAAACATTTAACTATCCTTGAGAAGGCCATTGCGTGGAATATTGTGAATATGACAAAGTCCCCTTACCTCAAATGGTCTTATCAGGCTTTTATAGAATATCATATCCCCAACCTCGTGTACGGCAATGTTTCTGCAATTACAAACTTTCATGTGTTATGACAGATTATGCGTCATTTTACATCTAGATTACAGCACCAATGAGAAAAGCATTTATGCAGTTTGGTTCAAAAGAGGATTTGCGGATTGTATTTATCATTATATAAGTTCATTTTTCTGTAAAACAACAGACGCATCGGGTTTTATTGTGTAGCACCATATTCTTATATACATCTCCTGATGGCAAAAGATCAGGTTTAGATAGTCAAAACAAAACACTCAACAAAACAAAAGAGAAATCAATATCACAACGATAACGAATCCAAGATGGTGTCTCTTCCTTAGCAACCCCCTATACCTACGGCCATTCAGCCATATCCATTCATCACGGCGAATTACCGAATTATCGCCCCTGACTCTAATTGTCTCCCCTGTTGTGCTTGTTATGTAACAGGTACGCCACTACGTTATTCGACTGACGGGTTGGGTTTTGACGACGTCACTGATGTTTTAGCTATAGTAAAGGATGTAATTCGACTGACGGGTTGATTTTGACTTCGTCATTAAGTTTTCGGCTGTATCGTAGAGTATATACATCTTTTTTTTTACAACGGAATATGAATTGTATGTCGTATTTTGGCATGTATTGCTTGTATTTTGATTGCAAGACCATATTTTTTACACTTTTTTTCTTTTAATACGAACAATTACTATTTTACTGACAAAAAACCATAGAATTAATCAATTTCTTTCAATTATCATAATTGTTAATTGTAAAATTTACATTTAGGAATAACACAATTATATTTTTTATGTAATGATGAAGAGAAAAATCAAACTTTTGCTGCAATTTTGTTGCTGTGTTTTCTGTTAATTGCTGCTGTTTGCTATTCTTTGCTGCTGTTTTCTGCTGTTTTGTTGCTGTGTTTTCTGTTAATTGCTGCTGTTTGCTATTCTTTGCTGCTGTTTTCTGCTGTTTTGTTGCTGTGTTTTCTGTTAATTGCTGCTGTTTGCTATTCTTTGCTACTGTTTTCTGCTGTTTTGTTGCTGTGTTTTCTATTAATTGCCGCTGTTTGCTATTCTTTGCTGCTGTTTTCTGCTGTTTTGTTGCTGTTTTCTGTTGTTTTGCTGTTGTATACTGTTGGCATTTACATTCAAAAACGGAAGTTTTGCTGTATTTATTGACAAAATTGAAAAATTGTCGTGTTTTGGCATGTGTTGTTTTACGTTTTTTTTTTTTTTTTTTAAACACATTTTTGGCCTCAAAATGTGTAATTTGAACTTTTCCAGTATTCGGTAATATTCTAATGATGACTGCGAGTTCCCGGGTTGTTTACAATTGTCAGGAAACTGTAAAAGCCCCGTTTTAAACAGGGTATCATCGACGACCAATCGACTGATTGTTGCCCGCTGCATTTTTAAGGTCTAATACTTGTTTGTGTATTGCTTATATCTCGCCCAGCTTTGCAAAGTTTCAGATATCGGTCGACGGGAAATTGACATTTGTTTTGTGGGAGTTTTTAATGAAATAGTGTTACCATAACCAGATTCGTCGTCTTCATCATTATCATCGTCATTATCATCTTTCCATTCCACCATATCCTTGTCGAGATTCCGTTCGATGATGCGTCGAGATTAATTCTTTGCTCCGTAACGGCAATTACCGGAGTGTTTTGTAACGGAGTGGAAACTACGTTTCTCATCTTTTCTAAATACGATTAATTACTTATCCAACTCTGAGGAATGTTTACGTCTCTGAGAGCCGTCAGGAAAGTGTTCGTAACCTCGGGATTGACGTTCTTCAGATATCTGTGACGCGAAGCATTACCGACTAAGTCTACCAGATTCGAACTCAGAATCACCGATTGACCTTTGTATCCGAATTTCCCATAACATTTCCATTTTTTAAACAAAAAATTCGGAACACTCTGTAAGATGATATATTGAAAAAAGTCCTTTGGTTTTCCCAGCGTTGTTACAGCGTTGCCCTGCGATACACCCACCGAGTGGATGTTATCCATCAATATAGGTTTATCACTGTTGTGTTTGAATTGGCAGTATATGTACAAGTACTTCTGTAAAGTCTGATTGTATAACGCCACTTTATTGTCTAACGGAAGATCGTCTCGATTTAAGATTATTGAAATGTCGTGCATGGAATTCACTATCGAGTCATCCGGCGATTTAAGTCTCGTACACTGTATCCTGCATTACCCAAAAAAATTCTTCCTCATATTATCTGGAACAGTCCACCCAGGAGTTCGCTATCGGAAACACTGTGGGTGCCAATGCCTGAATGAAACTCCCCTTCTGGACGATCCGTTTATTTTATTTTAACGGTAGTCTCTTGATTAATTTACAAATACTGACTTTATGAAATGGCAAGCGTTTCTTCTGTTGTTTCTTTAATCCTGTAATATGTTTGAATGCACTCACAGATACAATTAATTAGACCTTCGTCAGCCTTTTCGAGGATCGCTTGAACTTTTATCGTTTTTAAAACTTTTAAATCTTCCAGACAGTGTCTGATTTCCATTTACTTTCTTCTATTCTTAACCGTAAAAAGCACCCTGTATTTGCTCGTTGTCGAAATCTTCGACTTTATACACGGGGATATTTCCTCGGTAATATCTTTGAGAAACTACGAATATTACTTCGGTCGGTTTCTGTTGCCATCCAAGACGAAACTGCCGTTTCTGATAACTCAGTCTCACCTGATCTCCTTTCTTAAATTTGTACGGCCTTCAAAGGTTTATCATCCTTTCTTCTGATAGAGATAAGGTGTTGGGTGTCTTCGTTTACGTCTTCGGGCGGAACAGTGCAGCTTCGAATGTTTTCTACTATTGTAGCTTCGAATAAAATCTGGAAACACGTCGGTGAATCTGTATGTTTAATTCGGATGGAAGTACCCATATATGATATTTTCAATATGTCTATGAAAAACTTTGTGAGCAGCGAGAGTCGCTACGTATGTGACGCCTTTGGATTTACAATATCGTTTAAACGAGTCGTTCAGTGATCCGATCTGACGAGTTCTGGTTTTCTTTCGGCAAATATTTCTTGGAAAGGTTCCAAAACGGTGTTTGCTTTCTTGTTTTTAAGAGGCTTTACCCAAGCATACCTGGGAAAATAATTGATCACGACGAGTAAAAAGCACATACCGTCGTTATGCTACTTGATGTATGACTCGTCGGCCAAACCTACATTCCACATCTGGTCAACGCCAATTAAGGGGGTACTGACCCGAGGGGTCTTGTTTCTTTGAACGCTGTAGTGATCATAGTTTTGTAGCCAATCAACGACCTGTGATCTACTTATTTTATATTTACATTCATTTTTTATGCCCGCAAACAACCTAGAAGGACCCGTAAAACATAAAACGTGCTTGGGATCATGCCATATCTTCCTCAGATAATCTTCTTGCTTTCTTGACGACATTTTCCATTACGACTGACAAACACCTTTTCTTTATGCATTTATCCGTGTTTTGAATTGTTTTAGAAATGAATCTGTCCTTTGTACCTCACACAAGTATTTCCTAAATCAATAAATATACGGTAACTAACGCGGTCAACGTCATTTAATACATTATAATAATCATTCTTCGTCTGAATACTCATTATCGCCGATATCAAGTCAAGTTTCTACCTCAAGTAACATTTGTAAAGAGAACGAACGGCGGCAGGCATCGTAGGCACAGAATTCGACAACATAGTAGAAATGACGCATATGTCCTTTAAATGGGTCACATTTATAGTTTTTCTTCAAACCCCGGCCTTAAGTTTCCCAACAAATGTAAACAATCCGGGAGATACGTACCCATAACAAATGTAACATCAAAAATAACATTTTTTTCTCAAAAATAAAATTGAAATAATGTTTTTGTCAGTAAGAAATTTAACACATTGTAAAATACTAAACTCAGTTTTTGCATAAAAATACCGGCAGTAAACAACAGCAAAACAACAACAAACAACAGAAAAACAGCAGCAAACAATAGCAAACAGCAGCAAACAACATGAATGTTGGATTTTTTTGTCATCATTACATATTTTGAAAAAAAATAATAAGATTTAATTGTGTAAGTGAAAAGTGTAAATTTTTGCAAATAGAAAATGTGATTATTGAAAGAAATGTAATAATTTTATGCTTTTCTGTCAGGAAAAAGTAATATTTCGTAATTTAAAAAAACTGTAAAAAAAAAAATATGTCATTGCATGCAAAATACCAAACAATACACGCCAAAACATGCCATACAAGTCATATTTCGTTTTTAAAAAACGATGTATACACAGCCGAACACTTGATGACATTGTCAAAACCAACCCGTCAGTAGAATTACGTACTTTACTATAGCTAAAATAATCAATAACGTCGCAAAACCCAACCCGTCAGTCGAATTACGTACTTTACTATAGCTACAACATCAATAACGTCGTCAAAACCCAACCCGTCAGTCGAATTACGTACTTTACTATAGCTACAACATCAATAACGTCGTCAAACCCAACCCGTCAGTCGAATTACGTACTTTACTATAGTTTAAACATCAATAACGTCGTCAAACCCCTCCCGTCAGTCGAATTACGTACTTTACTATAGCTAAAATAATCAATAACGTCGCAAAACCCAACCCGTCAGTCGAATTACGTACTTCACTATAGCTACAACATCAATAACGTCGTCAAAACACAACCCGTCAGTCGAATTACGTACTTTACTATAGCTACAACATCAATAACGTCGCAAAACCCAACCCGTCAGTCGAATTACGTACTTTACTATAGCTACAACATCAATAACGTCGTCAAAACCCAACCCGTCAGTCGAATTACGTACTTTACTATAGCTACAACATCAATAACGTCGTCAAACCCAACCCGTCAGTCGAATTACGTACTTTACTATAGCTACAACATCAATAACGTCGTCAAAACCCAACCCGTCAGTCGAATTACGTACTTTACTATAGCTACAACATCAATAACGTCGCAAAACCCAACTCGTCAGTCGAATTACGTACTTTACTATAGCTACAACATCAATAACGTCGTCAAACCCAACCCGTCAGTCGAATTACGTACTTTACTATAGCTACAACATCAATAACGTCGTCAAAACCCAACTCGTCAGTCGAATTACGTACTTTACTATAGCTGCAACATCAATAACGTCGTCAAACCCATCCCGTCAGTCGAATTACATAGCCTCGCGAGGGTATACCTGAAACGAATACATGGTGGCGGAACTTCCTTAGAATTCCCACCAATCCCCCAACATTTTTTTTTAGAAATTCATCATGAACTGCTTACCTGTTCTACAGCTTACACAAAAGAAATTAAAGATCAATAAAGTTTGTTTCTGCAAACCTCAATTTCTCAAATATGCTTCTACAGAAATACCATGACCCAGAAGCTAGAGCTAATTGAAAGAAGAAATGTTTGAAGTTTCCGACACATTTGACCTTTATGACCATAAAAATGTGTCAATATCATTCATTTGAACAAACCATACACCCAATATCAGCACCCTGTGTTTTTTGTGTTTATTGTCACTTGAATGGACAGTTTATGCACGGTTGGCGGCGCATGGACGACGCCGGACGAAGCACCATGACTTAAGGTCATCTTGACCTAGAGTCAGATGACTTTTAAAAGGGAACACAAATTCAAAAATAAACAAACAAATGATATCATATTATGTGATTAACAAATTATACCTTGTAAATTTGACTAGAAATAATTAAATTAAAACTTCGAAAATGAAACAACATAATCTATGTTTGAGTATATAGCTATCAAAATTTAGAGAAATATACACAAAAGATATACTTGTGTTGAAGGCAATTAGATATATATAAAAACAATGTACATTGAAAAACACTGAAATTAAGGAGAAAATACTGCGGCTGAATATGCATATACATAATCAAGAAAGTAAAAGAATATAATGATAACTTGTTCTTTTAAATGATATTGATTTTATCTCAAGAAGGGCAATATCAATTCCTAATCATATTCTAAGGGGAAAAGAGCTTACCTTGAGCTGTCAATTTGAAAGACATGTGGATCTCCAGTGGTGGAACATAAACCATGAGGTCTGTCTATAGATCTTATCTGTTAATAATGATTTCAACACACGTAAATAAGACTTTTTATAAGAGATTAATTCAAACTTCTACTTACAACATTTATCTTAATTGTGGCGGTTTTTTTTTTTATTTCCTCGTCATGTTGTAAATCAGTTTCATTTGTTTAATCAACGCATATGTTTACGTTTTACGTGGTAAACCTTTTCGTTGATTTATAAGTTGTTTTCCTTTAATCATATCGAATGAAATATCACTTTTCTTTAGATACCTCAATTGGCTTCACTATGTAACCGTCCCACATTGGATTGGAAATTGGGTTTTGAATCGGAAGGAATGCGAGCTCGTGCAACTGATTGCCATCTTTAACGAAGTCACGTGTTGCTACCATCTTAATTGTGGTCTTGTAAGTCTGAGTAGCTGGATCACATATCAATGGGTAGGTACAATCTCTTGTTGAAACATCTGGAAGGTATTAAATAATCTAGAGAAAATATGTAGAACGTAAAATACATCTTCAATCTAATTCAAAACGCGATAAAAATATTTAAAAAAGAAAAGATGAAATAATCATGTCATGTCTCAAACAAAATGTGGGATCACATTGTTGATCTTGATGACGTTGAGTGTGAGAATGTGTACAACTTCAGAGATGAGTAACAGGAGGCGTTGGAGTAAAAAAAGAGTACCAACAGGGAATAAGACTGAAGTATACACAAACAAGGGGACACTAAAGCAAAAGGAAGAGCAACAAATCTAACAGTGGATGGATGTAGTAAAAGATAAGAATGACTATCGATAAAAACTGAGGATGCTTAAGAACAAACACGAAAAGTGTTGAAGGACCCAGAGAAAAGAACACATACAAACAAGTCCTCAACAGCACAGTCTGAAATACAGTGTAAAGACCGTTATCTTGATTTCGTGGAATACATTTTCACGCATATTTTAAGTTTAAAGTCAACATGTTTCATTTAAAAATTCAAAGTAATAGATTCTTAAGTGAAAGAATTTTTTCAAAGTACAGGTACTTTTGTGTACCACTTCAGTTATGTTAGGAAGAAATGTTTAGTGTTACTGAAGCTCACCAATCAGCAACTGTGTCTCAGCTTTTGTCGACGGCAAATTTATGTTCAAGTCTCAAATATTGCAAGATATATTAGCAAGCAATCTCTTTGTAAATTAGAATGAAATAATTATATATTTGCTATGTTTCTTACAAAAACAGCTTTTCGTGATTTTGTATCTATCTAACTTTATGGCCTGAATATAGAAACAAATGTAAGTGCTAACCGTTCGGATCTGAGCTGGCCTTCATCTCAACATTTATCATGCACGTCTGTTGGTATTGGCTATTACAGGCAATTGGAACGGTTGACTCTAACGTGACCTCTTGCTCAGGTCCTTTCTCATCTACGGTGATGGAATTGTTGTGCACCTAGGTCGTGACAAGCAATTAGATTTTTCATCAGAATAAGAGTTGAGTGTGACGTTTCGATGACTACACAGTCACAAATGATCAGAGCGAAGCGTTATATTTGTTTGGGATTTCTGAAAACTATCTAACTAACGATGAAGAAGCATACAGCAGGGCAGTGCAATGACTATTGACTGAAATCCAAAAAACCGTAGTGACAATGGCACTTAATATTCATAAAACTACACCATGATTTTACGGGATTTTAAACTAACTGGTTCAATTGCCGATCATCCTCAATCTGGGGTGCCGTTCTAGTATTTCTCTTCAAAATATGATACCATTCGAATCAGTGATATCAATCATTCATTGAATGATTCTAATGATTGATTTAATTATATCAATAATTCAAATTCGTGATTAAATTTTTCTAATATAAACTATTTTTAGATATTAGTGAATCGAATTATTTATATCACTAAACGAATGAATGATCTATATATCACTATTTGGATTTGTTGATATCAATAATTCCGGACATTTAAGAGTTAACTGTAGTTTTTGTTTTACGTTATGGAGCGATAACACAAGCACTGGTCTGTACTCTTAATAAGCTCTTCCTCCACTTTGGCAAGTCTCGTCTCATCTAAGAAAGATCTTTCGTGACCTTTCCTTGCTAACCCTCCTTCGTGATCTTTAAAATGTGCTGTAAACAAAATAGTTTTCGATGGGGTGACAAAATCTTTGTCTGTATCGGACGCCATATCAAGAAGTGCAATCGTATTTCCTAGATCGAAGACATGTTTACTACTCGCATGAAGCTGGCGACACGTTATACGTGAGGTGTCGCTTTCTCTTTTCCATATTTTTCTGACGAAAAATAAATATTTGAACCAAACAATTCACTACGTTTGTTTATAATAATACACTGAATTTTATTATAATGACTTATAAGAAGAAATTTAGTAAATAGTAAGAAGAAATCTCCCCTTGATCAGTGCACAATGCAGCTTCCGGTATAACCGAAAGTAGTTCCTTTTCATTTTTTTACATTATGAGCTGATAACTTACAGTCAGTGGAACTGCATGTTACTGATAAAATCAAATTATCTAATATATCATTAATTCAAATTATCGATGACATGATTTCTTCAAATTTTGAGGGCTATGACTGTTCCTTCTTAAAAATGCCATAAATGGTGGTTTTCGTTGATAATTTTTAGTCTTGGACAAGCATTTATAAAAGAATCGGTTACAAAAAATATAGTTATATGAACTTATCCTCTTTTTTTCTTGATTTCAAGAGCATTCCTCCACAAAATGAGGAAATTGATAATAATCAACGGTGACTCCACGCACGATTTCGTGATATCCATAATTCCATATTTATATATACTGATATAGATAAATGCATTTATAGATTTCAATAATTCGAATTAGTAATATCACTAGATGAATTAATGATATCATTAAATTGAATTTTTGATATCAATACTTTGAATTAGATATATCAAATTATTGATATCAATTTATTTTTTTTTTTTTTTTTTTTTTTTTGTCAGATAAATACTAAACCGGCGCTCAATAAAATTCTAGAGATAAGCCACGTCGACCCGTACCTTGGCCCCAAAATAGTCACGATCATAAATCATGTGTGGGACAGGGTGGATTCGCAGAACTTTCTTATACCACAAACATAGGCTCTGATCTACCTTAAGCATTGAAGAACTCGAATAGCAACAAAAACAAGAGTCCAACGTGATTCCTACTCGTTATTGAAGTCGGACAATTCTCAGTTGATTATCATTTCGCCAAGAGAGATAAGCCTGCAGAGGGCTCATTCAATAGAAAAGGTGCCTATGGTCAGTATCTTAAATCTGAAATCATATTCGTGGATAGGATGTTTTTTCGTTCGTTTCGTGGGTACTCATGACCAACAAATTCATTTGGTATTAGAATATTATTCAGCTATGTGCATCCACGAAAGTGTCCAAGAAATAGTGTTTCTATGGAAACCAGGAAAATATTTCCACAGTATGTTAACTCAACAGAAACTTTAAATGAAATGTTGAAGAAACATGTTACCGTCAATTAGATTTTTGTTTCATTCGTATCCTAGAGGAATACATTTATAAACTGAAGTATACCTCACCTGTATTCCCGCCCAGAATTCGTTACTTTGGAGTGCGTCACTTTTCACTCCGGGCGTACTGGCATGGTAGGACCTAACTGTACACTGCAACTATAAAACAAGTATAGCGTGGAATCATCAAAACACTGTAATGCATTGTTACTGTTCATTCAACGAATTGCAGGTAGTGTAATCCGATACTATTATGTACTAATTTCATATAAATGTGCAATACGAATTAGCTTAAAATATCGTCAAATTTGACATTCATTAGATCGGGAAAATTTTAACTTTGAAAGTTCACACAAAGAAATAGAAATTATCGAGATGCTTTCGCTCAAGGCGTGATATTTTCTCTTTCAAAATATGTTATTTTTAGCAAATTATTTGGTCATTTACAAAGGTAGATATTGAGCAGGTTGCAAGAACAGTGGTCGGACAGACATCGAAACAAGCATTTTTTTATTCTTATTATTATAGTAATCATGCTAATTATAGACTCGTTTTGAAGATCGTAAAATATTGTCCCCAAAGAAAGTCGATAATCAAATACAACGGAGAGGCTTGGAGCCGTCTTTATGAGCATGTATTTTACATTAACTATCTTTATATGAATCATATGGATTTGTCAAAACCAAGACGCTGACTTCATGAATGTTTATTTCTTGCTTCATAGGCGAGGAGTGCGTTTTCGAAATATCTTTTAAGTTGCGTATATAGACCACCATTTCTGAAAAAAACGTTACTTGAAATGCATTACTGATCAATCTACTACTATAGATATAAATGTTTGTACAGCTACAGAACTATTTCATACAGTTTAACTGAAAAGCATGTACGTACTGTTGTGCCCATATGACCTTTCATATATTTGCCATCAAGATATGCGTCCCGATCGTTACCAGTAAGGACAGTCACAACAGGTGTTTGTGTTCCTGGAATCAGGATAGGATCGGAACCGTTCGATGTCCACGTGACCTCGAAAGCCACATCTGGTTCTCCTTTAGGGTAAGGTATATGACACGGGAATTTGACAGTGCCAGTTGAACTACACGAATTCACAGTATTGCCCTGTGCATCGACGGTAATAGGATAGTTTGGGATACAAATCTAAAAGCAAAAAAAAATCTAAATCTTAAAAACTCAGTAGTTGTAACCTTAAAATACAAGACGTTGACAGTCTTGAGTTTTATTTTTCCTTTATCTTCCATTAAACATGCGATGTACAACATACGGTAAAACTTTGCGAAAAAAATGCTGGTTTCGATTTGAAATGGAAATCTTTCATTCACTGAGCTATGATAGTGTTATTAATGTTGCGGTTCCTTATAACAAATATTTCTTGAAATGACTACTCTACTTACCTGTACAATTTCCCGTTCCAATATTAGACTGTCCAATTTTACACACAGGTTTGTTACCTGTAACAGATAATGACCTAATTACACGTGTCAATTGATGTTAACAAACCGACTAATCAGCAAAAAGACAGCATTATCTTAATATCTACTTCGTATTCATCCAACCTTCAGATCTTAACAATGAAATGGCATATACAGTAGTAATGATGACTGTAATATGTGGTTTAAGGACCGCAATGGGCAACTACAAATGTTGTCGTTCTGCATGCCACATTTAAGTTCAATTCGAATAGTGGCACGGTTCATAATATACACATGTACTTGACTAAAATTATCAGGTATATAAAATTACGAAATCTATTTAATCATGGGGCTGGTGCCCCTCCCCTCATAGATTTTGGCTTTCCTTTCGATCACTTTACCTCAGTCGTTTCCTAGGCTTCAGATTTCCGGTTCTGAACATAATTGACAAGTTTTAGAAGGACGAAACATGTACACTGTACGATGCAATTTAATTCATTTTTGGCTCCACTGTATCTTATTCTGATTCTTCTGATTCTGTTCTATTCACTTAGGTGTCTTTTGTACAGTCTCTTATAACGTGTCTTAGAAGCATTCGTGTTAACATTAACAAAGGAACTTAATCTACATTGTGCTCGTAATGCAAATGTAAACTCTGGATAAAGTTAACTGCCATCCCATTTTAGGATCCTAACCATGTTTTAATTAAAAGAAGTTATGCTAAAACTGTAGTGCAGCTTAAGACACATTTATCCAGGAAGTATGTCATCTATCGTCTCTGGATCTCGAGAAAAAAAGTGTTGAGCGAATCCAAACGTTTGTGGTCCCGCCATCAGTCAATGTCAATGCTTCCTATGATGATAAGTTTATATCTCTATAGATAGTATCTGGATTCCACCATATCATATATATGGATATTTAACAGATTTTGTTTTTAATCTTAGTCAAACTTTCCCTTTTCGGCTCCATCAATCTACCTCTATGGGTAATGGGTCTGACACGGTCAATATAAACATACCATGAAACCCTATACTAAACTAATAATGCTAACCACATTTGAATTATTTCTAATGGAAATGCAACAAATGCTCAAAAACGTATTTTTTCTTACTTAGCGAATAGTAAATTGGTTTCCTCTCAAGGGGGAAAGGGTCTTGAAATTAACAATTTTGGCAAAGACCCTTCCATCCATCAAGAGTGTTTCATTCTACGGTACCGGGAAATAGAGAGGAAGACTTTCAAAATATGAGTCAACATAACAACTTTTGACCCTGCTCCTGGGGGTTGGGGACCGTATAATTTGTAATTTTGTTTCACCTTTCGCCATGGAAGGTTGACGCACGACGCAGGACAAATGGCGATCGCAACAGGTCACCATGAGACCTCATTGGACCTTAAACTCACCTGCGCAGTAGGCCATAGGACATGCAGTTGTTCTAGATAAATGGTACACGTTGAAACTCCCACAGTTCTTCACTTGTATCTGTCGTGATGAATGACAGCAAGGAGACCCTGCATAAGAGGCCGGACTAACACTTTGGCCATAGTTATAACACGCCTTTAAGGTAACTATTGTTCCCTGTGATGTAGGAAGCTGTCCGTCTAACCATATTGGGATTTGTGTTCCACAGTGGTAGATTGGAACGCAAGACGTTGGCATATCGCCATTTGAGAAACGATACCATTTTACCGGCAATGACCTGTCACAAAGAAGTCTGTCGGTTGCCTCAGGTACAGAGACGGTACTTCTATGTTCCTCTATAAGGGTCTCGTAGTTGGTACACTCGTCTGCCGACACTGAAATATCGCACACTAGGAAGGTTTAGTTTCCGTAAAAACTGCGTCCCTGACTATTGAGAAATAGATGATGAAAATTGAAGTCTTGAGACTTGTATGTTATTTCAATGTATGAAAAACATGACATATTTCATTTAGTAACAAACTGTGTGTCTTGTATGGATCTTGCTACGATATCTCCAGTGGTAGATATGAAAAGCTTATTGGATATTCTCTGACAATTATACAATATTGCCAACAATGAATTTGTTTTTAACCACATACATTAAAAAGACCTGATAATACATTCCTCTTTTTATCAGTTAACCTTCGAATGTCCTCTAGCACTACGAGAAGGACAAAATAGTTATTCATTCACATGCTCTTTTCTTCTGTCAAAGTGAATTATCATTCTGTGACAAAAAGTAGACGAACTTCAGGTGTTGAAGTAATGAATTTCTGATGGCAATATTCAAAGGAAATAAAACTACTTGTAATTCATAAATAAAGCAGTCGATAGCACTGCTTGCCTTGACATAAACAGTTCATTCCGATTAAAGAAAGCGAAGAGCGCCGACCAGATGTCCCTTATGCATGATTAGCGTTGGAAATAATTAGGGGAGGCCAAGACTCAACGTACTATTGTAAATATATGGTTGTAAATATTGTACATTTTAATATGTTTTGACCATATGGAAGATGAGCTCTGCGCTCAATATGTAATCAAGAATAGATAAAGACGAGTATTACTATTATTATTACAATACCTGCAAGATAATAACAAAGACGTGATGACATGATCTGATATCATCACGTATTAACTTGTGCATGTTAAAAAAAGGTTGACATTCATAGGTAGATCTCGAAGAAAAGGAACGTTAATTTCAATCGGTATACACGTACAGCTGATGTTCAACAATGACACCAATTTTAGATGTCAACATGCAGCTATCGACGGAGCCTTGAGTTGGACGAATTTAATCTCCAAAAAAAATGTGTATCAATTTTAACCTTCCTCGCTACATTGCACTTTAAGTGAGCATATCTAAAATAGAGACCATTAGTTCTTAAAATGGAAAAAAATGGTTTATAGTACAAACCTTCTATTAGTATACAGCAAAGAGCACTGAAAATAAATCGTATCATGCTGGCACCGTTTCTGTTCCAGGTAAGGTGTCGCTAGTGATAAGGCATTATGGTTTCTTCCGTTAAGAAGGCCGCGATAGCTGTATCAACAGAGCTACGGCCAGGCTACGTAACATCTGGTGAAAATCCCAGGTGCATTTGGTTCCATGCTCCTCTGGTTTGTTTCTCGGAAAGCTGAGACACAGACCTTAGTGCTGATGTGGTCGTGTCCTTGGGTAAGACACTTCATCCTATTTGCTCTGGATGACATACGATAGGCAGTTCGTTTGTTGTTTGACAATGTAGCCACCAACTACTACATGTGTCTCAAGATGATCTTGGCTGATCACGGGTGATAAAACAAAGATTTCCTATCAGAACGCGACATAACAAGAGTGATGATATAAAATAGTAAAACTGATACATTTCCATGAAATCCACATACCCTTGCCTTTCTATCGATATATAATTAACCTAAAACTATCTGACAAGGTTGTAAACTGTAAAATTGCTTATTTTATTTCTGACCTGCTGACACAACTTCTCTTCTCGATAGCTGTTTACAAGGTATTCCAATTCTACATTCTAATTATAGCATACGACCTACATTATAAAATAATTTTTTTAATGAACCATGTGGTATCTGAAGTTTATCAAATGTTCTGCTTATTGCGTCAGAGGTCAGCAGCTCATGGATCACGAAGTAAGGTGTTAATCTATTTCCTAACACAACAGGTGAGTGTTATTCAATTCCAAACGCATCAATTCATCAATGCAACTGTTGTATAACATACGTTTCATACCACATGTGGTGTAACACTTAGGCATATTTTGATTGACTGACAGGTTGAACTTTGACCGAAAAGGCGCTTCACGCACTCACGAAAATTAGAACGCGCAGTAAGTAGTTGGCGATTACCTTTGTAATCATTTGATTTTTCTTTTGGTATCTTTTTCTATTTTTGTAATCAGAATAATTTACTCTGTGCATTCTTGAAATTGTCAGTTTTTAATGTGAATTAGATGTATTTTACTAAGGTTTATGCCATCACACCCAAACTTAGGACGTAAACTAAACACAGGTGGGTACAGAATAGGTTAATGCGGAAGTGTTTATTGTGGGATAAACAGGTTACACTAACTCCTGGTTATTATATATAGTATTTCTTTCACTTTCGTTAATCATTTTCCAAGAGTTACACTAATACTCACTAAAGCTGGTGTTTTTGTAACATTTAAAACAACTAATTCCAGTGAAAGAAATCCTGTATACCATAACCACTCCTGTAACCGCCATATATTCTTATCCCTTACAAATGTTTCCGTGTGTTGATTATTACGGAATGCTTTACAGAGCTATTTTAACTAATAAAATTAAATATAAATTAAAAAGGAAACATGATAAATGTTTGTCCATCGTGTTTGAAGACATTTGAGCTTTGAAAGTTTAAATAAGGCGAAGATGTTAAACACCAAAAAGTAGGTGATGTATAAGTTTTTCATGGTAAACAACGTCTGAATTACAATATTTATACGAACGACCTTTACCCCCCCCCCCCCCAAAAAAAAAAAAAAAAAAAGAAAAGAAAAAAAACGTATAGGTTCATTGATCTTTTATGATGCCTATTTTTCGAATCGAGGCATAATTTCACTTTTCCTTCAGTAAATAAAATCCAGAAATTGTACGTGCATCAGAATCAAAACCGTAGTTGCTGGGTATTTCGTTGAAACCTATGAAAGTACTTTTACCATTTCCATAAACATTCGTAAATCGTTTCATGAAAATATAAATCAATTTTGAAAAAAAGGTGACACAAACAATAACTATGAGAAAATATTCACAAAAATAACAACATGACCATAGTCTTCCACTTTTATTTGAAAAATATGTTATGCATTGTACACTAATAATTCATAAATGCAGACATTACCATACAATAAATATGAAAACATAATTTACTAACCAAATAACACTCTTCAAAATATGTTCGATAAAACTGCAAGGAATTCTCTAAGTGAAACATTTCCATGGTCTAATACATGGAAATTGCATTGCAAAATATTTTTCATTATCCAAATAACACACGGAATTCACACATACTTTTCCGCTATTCAATATAACAGGGAAACCTTGAAGGAAACACATTTCTAACATTTCCACGATCTGATAATACATGAAATTCTGAGACACTTCTGTAACAAACAGCAGAAACTGACATTGAAAGTATGTTTCGTGTTAAAGCTAATATGGAGAGCGCATTGTAACCAATAAAGTGACATGTTGATGTTCCTTATAAGTATTCTTCTATGACTTATCAAAACCCAGTATACAGTACTTTTATGTGCAGAATCAGTCCTTTTCTTATCATTTATGTCCAAATTTATAATTCAAATTAAGCTGTAAACATTGCTACATATCATATTAATACACATACCTTGTATATATCAATGTACAATTACCAACATCTAGTTCATTAGTATTTTCCAATGAAACCTAACATTTGATTTTAGACCACGTTTACAATGGTTCTTAACATGAAGATAACATCAGCAAATCAGCACGAGTCATTTCTAACATATACGACCTTTCATTCAACAGCTTTAGCATTAATTAGTGGTGTAAGCATTCAGAAAATCGTTTCCTGTTTCATTTTTGTATTAAATGCATGTCAAAACAATTATTTAACATTATATGGCAATGGATTTAAACAAGTGATTCAAGGATCAGTAGTGTTTTACATTGTACCACAGGGCCAAGCTAACATTTAACGGGTCCATGTGGTTATAGGCAAGGCTACTCGACCTGCTATATGTCATAAAATTAACAGGTTTTAAACATTAAGATTTATTTCACATGCCATAAGTAATGTAAAATATTCAATGAACAGCAATTTTTCATGATTGGTGGCATCAGGGCAAGATTCCTGAACAGAAACTGTCATTTCGAATTTCTTAAGCCTTACCATTTTATTTTGCAAAGATAGAAAATATCAAATGACCAGGACTTGCTGATGTGTCTATAATGTACTTAATGATAAATTCATATTTTCTAAATTCGTGTGTGTTACATGATGTGATTTACACAAGAACATGGCTAGAAATATTTATTTGATTGATAGTGTCTTTAAGATTCCACTAAAATCAAGTTCATTATCCGTCTGTCTTATGTGCTTGTCATTACCATAGTCATTTCATGTCCATTAATAATGGTTACAATGTACTTTGGGAAAAGGTTTTGGATTGCATCGCATGATTCACCAGAAAACCCAACCTAAGCAGAGGTGATTACTTAACAGGTATGTGATGGATTTAAATTCCTTGAAGAGTTATTGCTAACTAACTCAGGTTAAAATAGTAAAGATGCTGGCAACTAGGTTAAATTTTAGATTCAATAAAAAATAAGTATTGGTAGAAAGCTAAATAAATTTCAAAGCAGTTTTTTTCCAGTGACTGCTCAAAACCATTATGCAAGTAACATCAGGAAAACTAACAATGCTGAGTGTACAATTCTGGTATGTTGCCTTCCTATGTGGAACTACAATCAAAAGCCATCAAAGATGCATGATTTGAAGTGGAAGACAATACAAAAGTCTAGCTGTGAATATCTTTGATTCATTTTTTAATATTGCCATTTGCAAAAACTGCATTAAATATCTAATCCACAAAACTCTGAGCTGAGAAGTTAATTCACCTGCTAAGTGTGTTTCTTTGATATTCTTTGTGTTATATATATACATAGAATATTTGTAGGATACCTAAAAAGAAGTGTATCAAGTTAAATTTTAATTTATATAGTACCCTATTAAACAATTTTTAGTCTTCCTAATCAATATTATATCTGTAATAAATAAAGGTATGTATGTTTTATTGTGTATCATACTCATAACCAGTGTATATATGGTATATGGCTCATGAGATGGAAACTTCAACAAAATCAGCTATGTAATACTGTACTTATCTGACCATTTTTAACCCTTTAGAAATAATGTGACAGTCTTTTGTCCATTTCCTGATAAACTGGATGTGGTTTCAGTCACATAGCATTTTATATGAACTTGATCTGTTTAAAGAATTGTTAGATCCCATGTAAACATGGTATTTACTTAAAAAGTCATCAAATGTCAACTTTGACCTTTGACTGACCACAAAAATATATTTTCATGTCATCAGGCCATTATTTAAATATGAATTTCTATATATATATATATATATATATATATATGATTTAAGGATCATAAAATATCTGGTACATAAATTATTCACTTTAGACAAGGTCATGTGTGACCATTGACCTTTTTATTAGTAGCAAGAATAAAGAACAAGATATTCCAAGGGGATTTTGGTGCCCACCATTGCTTGATCTTTATTTGATTTTTGAAAGTTGGATCTCTTCTCTTCTCTGTTTTTGCTCTCAATGATAAGGGATTTTAACATTCATTTGCAGAAATAGCGATAATAATTTTTACCTGCCAAATCCAAGATGGTCGCCCAAAAGCTTTTGTGTTTTTTCTGATCTGTTCCAAAATCAAATGGGCTCAACTAGGGACAAAGGGAAACCTACATATGAAATCTGAAAGAGATCAATGGAGAACTTTTCAAGAAATAGCAAAACCAAACTTTATTTTGCGAAATCCAAGATGGCTGCCTGTCAGCCATTTCATTGTTTGGATCAGTCCCAAAATGAAACAGACACAATATGGGGCCAAAAGGAACCTATACATGAAATTTGAAAGATCGATACAGTGTTTCTCAAAAATTAGTGATAACAAACTTTCACAATAATAACAAAAGATGGCCATTTTGTTTTTCTGATCAGATCCAAAATCAAATGGGCACAACTAATGACCAAGTGGAACTTACATATGAAACTTGAGGAAGATCTATGCCATAGTTCTTGAGAAATAGAGATAACAATCTTTCAAAGTCAAGTTTCAACATGGTCACCTGCAGGGACTCTGCACAGGAAACTTGAGAGAGAATCATAAAGTACTTTTCATGAAACCGTGTAAACAAACTTCATGGAAATCCAAGATGGCTGCCTCTCAGCCATTTTGTTTTTCTGATCAGTTCCAAAATGAAACGGGCACACCTAGGAACCCAGGTGGAACCTACATATAAAATTTGAGAAAGATCCATCCAGTACATTTCAAGAAATATTGATGACAAATATTGTTTACGGATGGACGAATGGACAGATGGCTGGATGACAGACCTCGGAAGTAGGGCCATTTGTATAGCCAACCATCTGACGATGGTGGGCTAAAAAGTATGTCCTTTGGAACTCAATCCTTTTCCACTTCTAGGTGAGAATCTATGTATACTGCCATCCCTTCTAGTTCCTATACTTACATGACAATTAGTCTAAATTATTGTTCTTAACATTCTTTCTCTGTCACTCCACCACAGTGTTTGTCCTAGAGGAACTTGATTTCTGTCTACATATTGTCCCAGGAATCTACCATTTGTCTTCATTTCATTTTGTTTTGTTTTTTTTTTGTTTTTGGCTATTGATAACTATCAATTATCATTTGGATCTTATAGATGGATGTGTTCCATAACATCAAAGCAATTCACATATTATTTTCTGTAATCTCTTTCAAAAAGCTCTCTTTGAAACTGATTTTCTCGGATTGCGACCAAAAAAATAATCTAGCTTGCTAAGTTGAAAGCTCTTTTTGAAACTGATATTCTCGGATTGCGACCAAAAAAAATCTAGCTTGCTAAGTAAAAGTTTTTTTTGAAACTGATTTTCTCGGATTGCGACCAAAAAAAAAATCTAGCTTGCTAAGTTGAGAGCGACCTACACACAGATATTCATTATTTCATGCAAAGATGACTTTTGATCATCCATTTGAGAATTTAAGACACATTTTAAAAATTGAACGAGAAAAACAAAAAATAACTGAAAAGATATGAAATTGAATGTATAGAGCATACACAACAAATATTTTAGCGAGTAAATTTTGTCATTTTAAAAGAAATAACTCCTGAGCATAGAAGATATCAATTTCAACATATATGAGTTTGTGTGACTTTTTTTTTACCACAAAATCTTCCAAGGGTGAATTGACATGTTCTAAACTTCAGTGTGTTTTGAAACGATATCACTTAGGGAGTAATGATATCACCAAAAGTGAAACGCCACTAAATAATATGTTAAAAACTGACAATAAAAGAAACATATGGAAATATTATTAATTACCATGAATCGTAATAAGTAATTAACAGGTTCCTTATCTTAAAACGAATAAATTCAAAGAAATCCATACAAAAATTTAATAATTATGAAAATAAGTGAGAACCACTTATTGCGGCTTTCAATAAAGTACAGAGTATCAGCGAGCCAAAATGCTTTTATAGTCCATCTTATAACAGATGTAATTAATGTGTTAGAAGTTGAATAACAGCTATCTATTGCGGCAGAAATTCAATTTTTCTTTAAGCAAACAATAAAAAAGGGTAAACTTCTTAGTGAACTATCAAAATTTTCAATTGTTTCGGTTATCTGTATGTGTATTAAAAAATGGCTGTAAACATTTTATTACTAAATAAAGTAGAGTTTATGGATTGACATCATGAAAACATGAAATCCCTTAAGATTAATGTGTATCCGGTTATCATGATGTCAGTCCCATTAAGACCCTATGACATCAGTAAAATTTGTTATAGAAAATCCAACATAACATCATATGGATTGATGTCATATGTATGTCATGTTAATATCTGGATTAATATCGTGACAAAGCTGTTCAACACATCACTAACAAAATAAGTCCCGAAGAGATGTGAATTTGTTACATTTTAACATTAGTAATGATGAATGATACTTTAACTTAAACATGAAGTAAATACTAGCTAACCTAAAAGGGTGTTAAAAAAGATATTTACTCAATACTGACCAAAACATGGAAGTGAAAGATAACCTTATTTTGAATGTTACTTCATTTTAAATTTTAAGTGTATGTGTCTAACATTCTTCTTTTATTTTACAAGTCAGAGTTAATTTGAGGAAGATAATACTGTATGTTACCAGCATCTGTCAAGTAAATGGTAGCTCCAACCTTGTTTCAACTTTCTCATGTACATGATCCAAATATTGTGTTGTACAGTTAGAAATACTGTTTAAAGAAAAGCCTTCCATCCGAAACCTAGAATTATGATAAGATGGTCCTTTGGTGCATAAAACTTCATTCTACAGCACACTATCAAATGGCATACTGGACAACACCATCAGCTGATGTACAAAATCATACCATCCGCTCCCTTACTGGACTAAACCATCATTGGTGTGAATGACCAAATTATAAGTTGGCAAACTCAGCCACAAAACAAATACTTGTCACACCATCAGTATAATAGATCAATCATCAGTAGGCATACTACACCAATCATCAGTAGGCATAATAGACCAATCACCAGTAGGCATACTAGACCAATCATCAGTAGGCATACTAGACCAATCATCAGTAGGCATACTAGACCAATCATCAGTAGGCATACTAGACCAATCATCAGTAAGCATACTAGACCAATCATCAGTAGGCATACTAGACCAATCATCAGTAGGCATACTAGACCAATCATCAGTAGGCATACTAGACCAATCACCAGTAGGCATACTAGACCAATCACCAGTAGGCATACTAGACCAATCATCAGTAGGCATACTAGACCAATCATCAGTAGGCATACTAGACCAATCATCAGTAGGCATACTAGACCAATCATCAGTAAGCATACTAGACCAATCATCAGTAGGCATACTAGACCAATCATCAGTAGGCATACTAGACCAATCATCAGTAAGCATACTAGACCAATCATCAGTAAGCATACTAGACCAATCACCAGTAGGCATACTAGACCAATCACCAAGGCATACTAGACCAATCATCAGTAGGCATACTAGACCAATCATCAGTAGGCATACTAGACCAATCATCAGTAGGCATACTAGACCAATCATCAGTAAGCATACTAGACCAATCATCAGTAGGCATACTAGACCAATCATCAGTAGGCACACTTAATCACAACATTAGTTGGAGTACTAGACCATGTTATTAGATGGCATGATGGACCACTTTTACAAGTTTGCATACTGTACTACATCATCAGTTGGGTGTACTAAACCACACCATCAGCTGGAATACTGGACCACATCATCGGTTGGTGTATTAGATCACACTATCAAACAATTGCCATCAGCAATCTTTTTAAGGTAAAAAATGACCAGAACAATACATAGCTGACTTGTTTGTGCTATAGCCTAAATTGATATCCAGAGCCCAATTAAAACCTAGTAACTATCATTTAAACAATTATACACTGAATTGTTAAGAAGACCAGTACAAAAAACAAGCAGTAAGTTTTTTTCCTAGTATCAGTTTTCAGTTCAGTTGAAATGATACACATCGGTCATTCACTGTAATTGATAAAGCATGGTAGGTAATAACAATTAACATATATCTATATCAAGAGTGGAGATGTGTGGATACACAAATGACAAACTTTTTTTCAGTTTGATGTGATGAATAACCTAATTTTATTGAAGGCAAAATACAACTTAATTTGAAAACTCACATATCTTAAGTATTTTTCAATCTTTTTAATAGTTATTACATTCTTACATATAAAGCTTCAGATAAAAAAATTAAGGGGAAAATCCCATGGGGATTAATGCTCACCTCAGTAAGATTTTAGCAGATTTTTTCCCCTTTTTATATATAATCATTATAGTATTAACCCTCCAATAAAACCCATATTGTTGGAGGATCAGTCTCCATGCATGGTTCCTTCCCTTGTGCAATACCAGTAATCGGTAAGGGAAATAGCAGTTGGAAGTATGCATCTTTGGGACCCACCTATGAAACTATAACACAAGGACATCCTTCCGATACATTTTGTGGAATATTTATATTTGGAATCTTTTTACGGTTTAAAATCCAATCACAACTTCTTTTGAATTCTCAGTCACTTACTAAATTGCTATCTTTTATAGATGTAAACCTTGTTGTCGTTTCATTTCGGAACAGCAGGTACATGATTTAAGAAAGTTTCATCATTTGTTTATGGTTGCCAAAATGAAAACAGAATGGATAGGCCTAGACCAAAAAATGTTTGAAAATTGCCAATCATGACACGTTCAGGTCAATTCCTTAGTCCTGAATTTGAGTTCAATTGAAAATTTGCATTTTATCTTTTCATGCTTCATATGTTAAGTTCAGTTGATATCTATGTAGTACTTACATTAGGCAGATCCATTAAGCATTAAGAAGTAATGTAAATTTCCATTTCTATAACATTTGTTTATGAGAGAATAATGATACATAGTTTCCCTTAAGTTTAATTGATTTTGTTCTTAGCAAGCTTAAATAAATACCATATCCTTTATCAATATTTTGAAAAATAACACAATGTTAAACTGTAAACTCCCGTCTTGGTGTATAGCCCTAGCACAGGTTTAAAGGGCAAGACGTTGAAAAAAAATCCCTGATCCCCTTACACCTGTAAATTCAGTAAGAGTATGTGAAATTATAAATATTTTTCACATAATAGACCACGGATTATGTGCAATGGACAGTGACGGACGGCAATACCTCACAGAAGTGCTAAAAAAATCCAAACATTTTCTGATATTAAGAACATCGTATAATCGATATCACAATCAATGTCAATGTGGAGAAGCACTGCAATTAAACACAATATCGAGTAGTGTTCCCATCAAATCCTGGGTTTTAAAATGAGTGATGAAATCTTTGATTTCCCTTGAGCAGCACACAGTGTTATGATTGGATGGGTAGGCCGGCCACTGTCCAATTAAGTCCAGCATTGTCCTGAGGATCAAAAGTGTGCTGACCAGCGGTCATTAGATTCAATAGAGTACTGTTCAGTGACCACAATTATTCAAAGAATCTTTAGTTACAGTACTGACCATTATCCAACACAAGAACCTCTCTAGTTCTGAGAAGTGTTTCAATATTGTCCTGAGGGTCTGAACTGACCAGTCTCAAGCATGGCTTCCCAGGATCTACACAGAACTGACCAGCATGGAGCAATTGGCTCTAGGAACTAAACTGCACTGGCCAGTGGTCAACATTTTCCAAAGTACTTATACAATACTGACCAGCTATCAGCATTTTCTGGAAGCTCCAGCTGTGCAGACCAGTGACCAGCATTGGTTGATGGATTCAAGCTGTGCTGACCAATGCCCAGCATTGTCTCAAGGATTTAAGCTGTGCCAATCATGGACCAGCATTGTTCCAAGGACCTAAACAGAGCTTATTTTGTCTCTGTCCTTCTGCAACTGTTAAAAGAAAAAAAACTTCATTAACAATAGTCATGAATTTCTCAACATACGTACGCTGTTCAAAAGTGACTATAACTTAAGATTTTATCATCTGAAAATTAGGAATGTGTCTTTTGGATAATGAAATAAGTTAACAATGAAGCAATTCATAGGCCTATAGCTTTTATTTTTCTATACACATATTTTATAGGTTGAAACATTGTTCTCTTTGACTGATATTTGTACACACCACCATGCTTAATTCACTACAAAGCAAGACAAACAGATAGCATGACTGATAAGGTGACAGGGTCATACAACTTCCCTCCATGATGTGGTACAAATGAGGTAAGCATAAACAACAACAGTGTTACCTTCACACCTTTCTTATCTATATTAGGATATAACCATATAAGGTTGTAATCAATTAGTTATTGGGTGCTTACTGTCAAACCTGATAACCAATAAAGATAATGTCTGTTAACGTTACATCTACGAAGAAGGTACACTGATAAGTTGGTAGGGCTCATGTGCCTATTTTTACAATTTGCCGGGTTTAACTTTTAGATGGGAACATCTGAAAGAAATTCTGTCTTTGCTGTAATCTCTACATGAATTTGACATCAGAGTGTCTGGTCTCCTTGCACAAATTAACAGAAGAATGTTTGTCTGTGAAGTTACAAACAGTAGGCCATGACATTTTTAGAAACAATGTTCTTTTTTCTCAAGTTACACCTCTACACACAATCCAGCTTGCAAGGACCTAAATAACATCTGCATTAATAAAACTTTTACACCTGTATCATGGCCTACATACATTTACTTTTCCTTACCTGAATCAAGACCTACATACATAGATTAACCTGCATTGAGATCTACATACATGTATATCAACTTTTCCTTACCTGTATTAATACCTACATATTTTATCATTTATTTTCCTTACCTGAATCAAGACCTACATACATAGATTAACCTGCATTGAGATCTACATACATGTATATCAACTTACCTGTATTAATACCTACATATTTTATCATTTATTTTCCTTACCTGAATCAAGACCTACATACATAGATTAACCTGCATTGAGATCTACATACATGTATATCAACTTACCTGTATTAATACCTACATATTTTATCATTTATTTTCCTTACCTGAATCAAGACCTACATACATAGATTAACCTGCATTGAGATCTACATACATGTATATCAACTTTTCCTTACCTGTATCAATGCCTACATATTTTATCATTTATTTTCCTCACCTGGATCAAGACCTACATGTAAGGTGGATCTTTATTAATCTTTAACTGCTGACTGCCAAGTTTAGTCAACTAGATTACAGGACAATAAAGTCATCAGTATGATATTCATGAAAATAAATGAAAATATTTACTCTGAATACAGGTTTTTTTTACTGTCTTTCATTTTTCAAATTATGCTTCTTTTTCACAAATAAAAATATATGAAATAACTTTTTTCATGTAAAAGTTGTTTTTATTCTTCAAAGTCCAATACTGGGGACAAGTCTTTGAATGTCTGTTCCATATCAACAGCGATGTTTTTCTCAAAATATCTAATAACCAATGCTTTCTCAATATGAAATGCATAAAATACAATGTATTTACATGTGTTTGGCAAAAATCAGATGAATAAGACCATTTGATATCTCAAACTATTTTCAGAATAGAGCGAGTCAGTTGATGGGCACAAACCACGAGCATGAACTTCCATGAATTGACAGACTTACCTGTATCAGGACCTATATATGTACTGAACTACCTGTATTGGTACCTACATATGTGATCTACCTGTATCAGGACCTATATATGTACTGAACTACCTGTATTGTACCTACATATGTGATCTACCTGTATCAGGACCTATATATGTACTGAACTACCTGTATTGGTACCTACATATGTGATCTACCTGTATCAGGACCTTTATGCACAGACTTACCTGTATCAGGACCTATATATGTACTGAACTACCTGTATTGGTACCTACATATGTGATCTACCTGTATCAGGACCTATATATGTACTGAACTACCTGTATTGTACCTACATATGTGATCTACCTGTATCAGGACCTTTATGCACAGACTTACCTGTATCAGGACCTTTAAGCACAGACTTACCTGTATCAGGACCTACATTGGACGGCCATTAAATGAGTAACATCAGAAAACCAAGCTGCTACATCTACTTCCTCCTTCTCATATCGTTTAATGAACTTGTGTTCAATTAATTTCTTGTACTTGGGTCGTTTCTTATAATCTTTTGTTAAACTGAAAGTTAAAACAAAATAAAATCATCAAATCTTAAAATGTTTTGTTATTAGTGCACTTTTTTTCATGAGATTTGTACTTCGTTCAGTGTTTGATAATGGACTTAGTAAGTGATGTATGGGATTTACATACTGTAAACCTGTATAATGTCAGGAACTACATAATTCAGGTAATATTTGTGTTTGAACATAGTGACAAATGTTTTTACTTGTACTTGTACACCCAAAAATTTGGTCAAAAACAATCTCTGGGAGCCAAGAAATCAATCTCAAAATATTCAGCTAACTTGTAAGACCAACGGTACAAAGTCCAAACCCCCAAATTATTCTCTTCACAATTTTTTTTTCATCTCATTTATTGACTTTTAATTACAGGTACAAAAGAAGAAAACAAGAGGCCCATAGGCCATAATGGCCATCTGACTATGAAAACTTTCAGCAGGGAGAATTGTTATTTTATCTTCTTTGAATGAAATCTTACTAAGAAACTGTTTTCCATGATGCAGATGGTAGTTTTGGTGAGGAGATGGTAACTGTCACAAATGCCACCTATTATTTGCCCGTAAAGTTGGAGCTCAATCCAACTGATGAAACTTGAGAAGTTTGAAATAGGTGTTGCATAGGAAAACCATGATTGTGCAATCATGTTACAAAATGGCCTCCCTGACTGCACCATTGAAGTTTTGACACGGTCAAAAAATAACAACACTTTGTTGGCTACTTTCCTTAACATCCCAACCAATATTAAGCTAAATTGCCCCAATGGAACTGGAAAAGAAGTTTAAAATATGTTTTTCAAGATGGCAGTCATGGTGGTCATTGTTCCAAGATGTAAAATTGTATCAGGATGATATAATGCAATGTTCTCCTGTTAACAAACATTTAAACCAATAGAGAATGCTGGTTTTCATCTAACCTACCAATCTCTAACAAATGAGCAGAACTCGTGGGAGAACTCCTTCCCTGGGGGCAGTAGTGGTGGGTCTTCTTGTAGGACTTTTGTTAATACTTCAAAGTCGGTTTTACAATTCTTATATGGGAACTCTCCAGTTGCTAGCTCCACCTGGGATAAAACAACAATGTTATAATAGCACACTGAACAATTTTGAAATTACAATGTATATAATAAAGATGTTACGAGTTCAAAATGCAATAACCAATAAAGTTTTGAATCAAGAAAAAATCAAATCAACTCGTATAATTACCAACTCAATAGAACACTTTAAACATTTTAGATTTAATGGTTACCCTAGCAAGTAATACTAATAAATTCAATGTTTTAAACAAGGACACACAAACCCAGCATCAATCGATAAAAGTATAGGTTACACGTTTATAATTACATAAAAATGTTACCAAACCAGCATAAATAAATCTGAAACCATCCAATTGCAAAATATAATAATTTGATTACTTTTGGCTCAACAGCAAAAAGGTTTAATAATGTATCTAATACATACTAATGTGATGCCCAGACTCCAAACATCTGCCCTTATATCATAATCAGGTCTTTGTGGGTCAGGTGGGTCTATTCTTTCCGGCTAGACAAAAAAATAAACAAAATTAATCAATAATACTACATCAGTAGAACTTAAGATTACTTAGACATGGACAAAACTAAACTAATTGACTACAAGTTCAGTTTCCAGAAAGTAAGTTGTATCTTTTCATCTAAAATTGGTCAAGGAATAGTCAGTTATATCATGTTATATTTATTTAATCACAGAAGAGTGAGCTGTATCATGTCATCTTTATTTAGTCACAGAAGAGTGAGCTGTATCATGTCATCTTTATTTAGTCACAGAAGAGAGTGTTATCTTTATTTAGTCACAGAAGAGTGAGCTGTATCATGTCATCTTTATTTAATCACAGAAGAGTGAGCTGTATCATGTCATCTTTATTTAGTCACAGAAGAGTGAGCTGTATCATGTCATCTTTATTTAGTCACAGAAGAGTGAGCTGTGTCATGTCATCTTTATTTAGTCACAGAAGAGTGAGCTGTATCATGTCATATTTATTTAGTCACAGAAGAGTGAGCTGTGTCATGTCATCATGTTATATTTATTTAGTCACAGAAGAGTGAGCTGTATCATGCCATCTTTATTTAGTCACAGAAGAGTGAGCTGTATCATGCTATCTTTATTTAGTCACAGAAGAGTGAGCTGTATCATGCTATATTTATTTAGTCACAGGAGAGTGAGCTGTATAGTGTTATCTTTATTTAGTCACAGAAGAGTGAGCTGTATCATGTTATCTTTATTTAGTCACAGAAGAGTGAGCTGTATCATGTTATCTTTAAATTTAGCATTTCAACAAAATTTTGCAAAGTTTGCTCTAACATTAAACTTGTATATACTATTACAATAGAAGAAATATTTGCAGTGTCAACAGAGTTGATCTACTGATGTAATTCAAGGCCCGCAACTCTCAGGCTACAAAAATTCCAGTACAATGTTCTTGCATAGAATGTTATATCATATTGAATTAAGTGGGATCAAGACTTTTCATACAAAAATCACATTAATGTCATTTTTCCTCAGGTAGGAAGATAACCCACTAAACGCATTTCCTCCCCGAACAATCTTACAGTTGATGACTGATGTATCAATGTTAACAAATTCTAATGGAATTGTAAGCCTAAGACTGAAAATTATAAAAGTAATATCTATTTCGTCATAAGTAGTGCTAGAAATATGCAACCAGTTTCCTAAAACGTTTCATGAAATTCCAGACATCATGCATATAAAAGTAAATCAAAGTGGAAAAATTGGTTATAAAGTGACAAAAATTCTCATATGTAAAATTTCAGACTGCTGCTAAGACCAGTGATATCTGGCTGGAAATATTGTCAGTACAAGTTTTTATTGTGTGACTACCATAGCATAAAAACATAAAAACTTAACAAATATCGCTTTAAAACTGGAACTCAATAAGTGAGTCATTTGACCGATTTGTCAATTAGGTAACACTTTAGACACACTTACTGCCATGTAAGCTGCACATCCAGCACTCCTTGTCTTTGCCTTGGAGTCTACAAGACGACCACTGATACCAAAGTCACATAACTTCACAGTACCTCTTTCATCTAACAGTATATTGGATGGCTTCACATCTGGGCAAGACAAGTAAAACACAAAAACTGTAGGATCTTTGAATGGACATGCTTGTAAGGTACATACTTTTGTTTGATTGGTAGTTTAAAACCCGTTATATAATATTCAGACTACACTTTCTTAATTATAAATTATATGGTAATAAAGGTAAATATGTACACATAGTCACAAAACAAAAGAAACCAATTCAAGTACTTGTACTTAAACAAGTTCCTTTTATATATGAAGTTTTTGGAAAAAATCTCAAACATACAAGACCAGTTGAAATATAAGGTCCTTAAGTATTCAAAATAAAGAAACTCACCTCGATGGATGACTCCATGTTCCTCTTTCAGATAATTTAATGCTTTTACAATCTAAAATTAAACACATTTTCAAAATCTTATTTATAGCATGATCTGTAAATGTTTTCACAAATCAACACACTTATCTATATATTTTCACAACATGAAATGGTAGAGATAAATGTTTACTCAAGTTGTAATACTTACTTATATATTTTCCTAATATAAAACTAGAACTGTCATCATGGCCAACTAATACCCCCGCTCCCCAATCAACAATAGTTTTTGAAGGGTTGTCCCATCAAGATCCCTCAAGAAGTCTTCATTTGATCACAGCAACCAAATGGAAAACATTTTCTTCAAAAAATGGTATCATTGTATTGTCATCCATTAAAGTTTTTATACTAATTTCAGCTTAATCAGATAATATATTTCAACCAATTAGAAGCCTCCAAAGTGTTTCCATGGTAACAATTTTAGAATATCTAATATCTCAAATTATTGGCTATAAACAGCTGTAGCATTTGATCAAGTTAAAATGAAAAGCGAAAGGGCATATCTATATATCATAGGGATGTAGCATGCTTGAGAAATATTGCTTCAGTACTTTATTAGATACACTTGACAATATTCAAAACAGAACATCTACAAAAAGGGGAATAATTCTAACAAATGTTGTGAAAATTAAAAGGCCACAACTTTATATCATAAGGATGCCTAGTTTGAGAAATATTGCTTTGCCACTTTTTTAGATACATTTAACACAATATTCTGGATGGACAGACTGTCAGACAGGGTAATTCCAATATAACACCCCACACACACCCCAGAACTTTGTAGCGGGGAGTTATAATGATAGATATAAATGTTTTTTCAAGTTAACATAATGTAATTGCAACATCAAACCAAACTTTTCTTTACATTCTAAACTTCACACTATATATATCACACGTGTGAAATCTGAAAATGCTGTGATAGAGGCAGTATTTACACTGTAATACAAGCTCCGTTGAGATAAACAACTAATTGTATAAACTCACCGCTACAGCCATCATTCCTAGAATTGCTTCCGGAATAGGTCTTTTGGTTTTCTTTAAGAGTTTGTCTAAACATGTAGCCATAAGTTCCATACAGATCCAAACCTCACTCTGAATACATAGTGATAAACAATGTTTAACTCTTAATCATCAAATTTTAACTCAACAAAAGCTTACAAAATGTCATACACATATACTACATATATAAGTATATACACACTACCAAATTATCTAAATATCATGTGATTCTTAATACAAGAGTGCACTGCTACAATTCCTTTTCCTAATACAAACCATTAGTTTCAATGAGTTTTGAAATGAATGAAACAAAATTCAGAAGATTTGATTTTAAAATATTTCAATTTGTGTTTCTTTTCTCTGAAAAACTTTCTTTTTGAACACAAAGAATACACATCTTAAACACAAACATTTTATTTAGAAACTGTAACATAGTATTGTTTATATTTTAAATTTGAAAACAGAAAATATGATTGATTTAGGTATATAATGACTGAATATCAGTGTTATTGTGTGGTCATACAGATGAGACAACTTTTTAATGAATATTAAAACCAGGTTAGGAGATAGCTTTTGAATATCAAAAAAAGGTTATGCCACAGCTTTTAAGTATTAAAACAAGGTTACAGGACAGCTTTTTCATGAATATTGAAATGAGAGTTACAACTCTAGATCACTTACATCTGTTATAAAGGTTCCAATACATTGCACTATAAAGGGATAGTCGTGACATTTAATCACCACGTCTAAATCCATAATTATTCTTTTGTTTTCCTCTTTGTTTCCAGATCTTCTCATTTGCTACAACGAATCACATATGAAACATTAAGTAATTTCTAACTAAATCCTGTAGTATTATCAAGCATGTAACATCATTCAATTAATCAAGAAATTCAATATAATGCTGTTTTGTCTGATGCCATTGCCTCACTTGCTAGCTAGATACTTTCAAATTAGGTTTATTACTATCTACATTTACATTCATTAATATTTCTTGATAATTAGTAACATTATTCAAACTTGATTTTAAAAGATTAATGATATACTTTCTTGCAGTTGTCATTGGTATCCAATCACAAGGACAGTTCATAGCGTCAAACAGAAATTATCAATAAGTGGTCGAAGGGAGATAACTCGCTGAAGGGAGATAATTCATTATACAGTAACAGAGGGTGTAGAAAAGTACAGACACCATACAACTTTTACAGTAACAAGATCAATGTTGTTATAAAATTCACAAAACAATCCTAATTCCTTTTCTCCTTGTTGTTACTAAAAGTCATTACAACTCATAACAGATGATGATATAATGTGGCTTACCTGTATTTCAGAAAAATAAAAAAGAAATCATTTAATACACACCGGAGACACAAACATGAATATTAGAAACATTCTAACTATATCTCTAGTACTTACTTTGACAGCCATCAAATGATTTGTTATCTTATGTCTCATTTTCACCACATGGCCACATGTCCCATGACCAAGTTCTCCCAAGTGCTGCAGTTCACTTATTTCTGTTGGATATTTCTTCAAACAAAAATGAAAACAAAAATTCAGATAAATAATAGATATATTACACATCACAGTAAATGACCTAAGTATGCTTCTTATGAAAAGATGTAACTGTAATGAAATTAGGAATTAAACATGAGTATACAATCCATCTGTCCAAAAACTACAAGAAATATTTATCGGTTGTTCAGCATGAATGACCCTGACCTATGTCCCTAGCACAAAATGAATGATAAAAAACATTGCTGTAGCTTGCATTCTTGCCATGTTAACTAACTTTCTCTTTCACATTGTACAAGTGAAGCTGTCCATTGTTTTACAATAGAGCTGGTCTCTTACATCAATCAAATTCACTTCAAATTGTGGATGTTCACATTACTGAACAGATAGACATTGTTAGGGCCTGCAAGTTTTCATGCAAATGATGCATTTCAAAATTACTCTGTGTACCACTATTACCTAGCACCATGGCTGTATTTTGATATAAAATGAACCGAAATATAATGCAATCTTACTCCAGCCTCTAACTGTTATGAACAAGAAAATGAGGAAAGTTTATTATACTAATAATTTCCTGAAAGTTTCATTAACTGAGTCAAGTTTGATAGTCTTTTAAAGTTTTTATTTAATTGTATAAAACTATGAACAATGGACACTGAAAAAATTTTAATTTCTTGTTATATATTGTATACTAGACTACAGCTTACATTGTGCATACATTTCCTTACCTTTCCATCTAGAGTCAGAATTCCTGTCTGACTCATTATCTCTTTGTACCTTCTTTCTATTTCAGCACTGCAAGAAAATAAGCCAAGTTGTGGTTACCAGGTAATAATACAAAAATATGTGTCCATTTTTAAACATTAACTTAACTGATACAAATAACATATACATTCAGTTCTAAATGCTAAAAAATTATGGTTTCCAAATGATAGATATGGAATGATCACAACTCACAAGATTTATTTTATAGTAAATGACAAATAGTAAACAAGATCTGTATTAGTTCCATCCCAGTTTGATCTATGGATTATCGAGTCATATTTTGTCCACATGTTAGAAACAAATATACTTCTGATGAGAAATATGGGTGTTCGTTATGTGTGCTGTGTGATAGATGGACCCTCCTTGTATTGGATGATGTAGTATACAATATATAGCAACTGGTTCTCTGTCCATTCATGTTTCAACAAGACACGTCTGGCTATAGGTACAAACACAACAATAGAGTTCATATCTTTACATTTGTGAAGATTTCTCTATACAAAAATAGTAAACAATCCCTTTCCTATATTCGTTCATTTTTAAGTAATTCAAAAATATTTGTATACAATGTACATGTAAATACAGATATTGTTTCTATCAAGTTTTAAATCAGTACATCAAGATACCCTAGTGTTAGTCATTACCTTGTATCTTGTTACATACACTGAGTATCTATTGTATAAACTTACCTATTAGGTTGTTTGGGAGGTGCTGGGAAAGCATGTCTGTCCTGTCCAGGCATTGCCAGAGTCAGTCTGTCTGGTTTACTGGCCATTGCCCCAGTCAAACTGAGTCTGTCTGGCTGTCTTGGGGGCTTTTGACGGTGAGATGCCATGTTAGGAAGAATCCGCAGATTTTCTCGATCAGGAGAAGGGGCTGAACTGGAACGTGAGGAGGCACCTAATTCTTGAACTATTAAACAAAAAGTTCAAGATTAACAAAAGTGGTGGAAACAAAAAATAATGGTTTCTTAATCTAAATACCTGGTTAAATATCATTTTCAGTGTTTTCTTATCACACAATCAAAAAATTCTCAAATCTCAGTTTCAATCATGTGTCAAGCGGCACTTCTTACGATTCCGAACAAGTGTGAGAGTTCATAACAGTGGTGTATACATGATTATGCTTGTTATAAAATTACTTTTACATGAAATTCAAGGAACATTTATTTGAGTATGGTCTAAAACTCTTTGCCTAGCTAGTAGCTATAAGCTATAAACTAGATATGAGTATTTGCCTATTTGTTCATCAGAAGAAAATTACAAGTTATATATGTAAAGATTTTAATTTACATCTACTTTATACATGTATATTTGGTAATCATTGTACTGTCAGTATAATGAGTAATTCATTTCACATTAATTGTATATTTACATTGTTTTCACTTTACAGGGTGTATTTATCTATGGGTTTTGTATAGTTTGTCAGATTACTGGGAGAAGCCGGTTATGTAGAATTAACTGAGTTTAACTGTAGTTACCATGTATCTCCTTAAAATACAGTTTTCTTTTCATTCAATTCAAAGTTTACTGACATAAATACAAAACGATTCAGTTTGTCGGTTCATAAACTACCACTTTCATTAAACAGTCTATTGTTTTATTCTTGCTGATACAAAAACCAACAATATTTTTTTTCATATTTTACATCAGTAACTTTAGTAGAATTTTTTCTGTTGAGTACCATTTCCAAACTTTTTGCTAAGTCTTGTTACAATTAGATAGAGTTGGTTCTCAATATCTGAATCAGCCTCACAGGAAAAGCAGGAGTCAAGGTCACAAATAGTTTAGTCCCAAAAATAACTGCACATTTATTCATAACTCATTTGCTGAATACAAAATTCCATTGATTAGTATATTGAGAATCCATCAAAGAAAACCTCAAAAGTTTGAAACGGTTGGCATGAAGACCATATTTCTATCAGACTTCATTTCGCAGAGGCATTCCAAATCATGTGAAGTTCAAGTCTAGCATGTGATACAATGACACTACATGGGAGTTCTTCACTCATAACATCATATTACTATGCACAATGTGCATCAATAATGATAGTCTCTCTCACATGCGTATTGATATGATGCATTGAAGGAAGGACTGGACTAGAATTTTGCATGTTTTAAAATGCCTCAACAAAATATTCTGTAAGAAATTTGGTTCTTATGCCAATCTTTTCAAACTTTACAGGGTTTCTTTGACATAATATCAACAGAATAAATGTTGGAATTTTGTTGTTAGTAAATGAAATATGAATATCTGTGAACTATTTAAAAGCAGTGTTGTTGGTTTTGTTGCTGTGGCATGACAAAGACTTAAGCAATAGGCCATTTCATGATGATAGTTTTCAGGTTGGTGGACGGAAAGTTTGAATTATTTTTGTATCTGCAATCTTTGGAATGGATAAAAATCAAAATTGTGTTTAAATAGAAAAAAACTGTAAACTGTTAATTTTCTATTTCGTTTAAGTTATCGGGTATAACTAAAATTGGTCTAATTGAATAACTGGCTATTGAACATGGTAAATATTTCATAACTGACTTTGCAAATTATTCAATTTACTAGAGTTCAATTGAAAATATTCCTCACTAACCTAAATAAAATAGAAAGTTAATCATTAAATAATGTTATTGCACATTATAAAGGTGTTATAGTCTATCACAACAGTCACTATACATATTACTTTAATGTCAGCAAGGAATGTTGAATTTAAATATATGTACATATATATAATGTACATAGTAATATACCCACAGCTAATGTATAATTAATCATAACCCAAAAATACACCTGACTTGAATGTGTTATTTGAATTTTGATCAATAAATAATATACAATACTGTAAATCAAAAGTGACCTTACCTCAAAGTACCATATACTATTCATAGAATTAAAATAAAATACTGAACATAGCCATCAATCACTAGAGATATAATAGCATTAAAAAATCCTCACTTCCAAGAATAAGCCAAATACACCATTCCTTTTCTTGGAATGGTATGTTTTACAAATGTTCCTAATATTAGATGCCTTTTTGTATGACATAATATTTCATTATTGCACAAATACACACAAACAGAAAGCAGACATTTTAAACTGGAAAGACCGTACAATTATATATAGAACACAATATTTTCCCAAAACATGAAACTATGGGAAAACCCCTTCGAAACTACAATTTACAATTATATAACTTAATATCATGATTATTTTAAGAGAAACTTCATAACCAGTGAATCAGGCTCCACAAAGTTGACACCTCAATTATCTGAATTCAACGGAACTTAAACTTCCATTTCTATGAAAAACACTGACATCAACAATTCATAACATATATATAGATAAAAGAATGGATATATATAGATGATATAAAAGTATAAAATGTGCACATCTATAATATCAAATCAGGCAAATAAGGTTTAGAAATAATGAAGATCATCATGAAATTCCCATTATCAAATGCAAACGTGCATACTTATCCTTTTATCATGCAAGTGGCATTTCCATTGCAGGATTGTATTTGACAACAACAACAAAATTAACCAGAATTACTTTCTTATTTAAACTTAAATATGATGTATTATGTTTAAAAGATATGGATACCTCAACATCAGATGAACAATGTAAGAACAAACTATTGGAGATTTGATAGTCCACTTTTGTCTTTCTTCATCCTCTCTAAAATACAGCTATGTGACACTGCACACAACTAACATAAACATATTACTATAACATAGATACACTGGTAGTACTTTCTACATTATATCATTAACTACCACAGGTTCAATTTCTTTGGCCAGTAAAAATGTAAGCAATGCATGAAATGAAGAACTTACTCCTGAAAGAACACAGTTCAATAGTTACAATTAAATAGCTGCAATTTGTAGTTATTAGTTTACAAATCTGTATGATTGTAAATTTTCTAAAGATCTACAGGCATATTTCAAAATGGACACGTCAACTAAATAGACCGTTTCATTTCTAAATACATCTTGCTTACAGGAAAAGCAAATGTACATGATTCCGCAATAATTTTAACTTTGTATGCCTGATCCATTAACAGTAAATGGACCGAAGACTGTTAATAAATTAAAACCAGATCTAAATGTATGTTACTTTACTTGATATGTGCAACCATCTTGATGAATTTCAAAAAGATGAAATATTTGTTGTGTACTGTACTGAATATATCAACAAAGTTAACAACATCTTCGACGATAAACAGGTAAACAAATTATAATTGGCCTACGACACATGAGATTCTGGCCCACGACAACAAAGAAAAAGAAAGGCCTACGCCAGAAACATATTTCAGGGCCATGGAATCATTTCTAAATTCCAACAGAACAAGCATTCTGCGGGACACACATTACATTCTTTCAGAATAAGTGGCCATCCAAGGGAAACAGTAAAGAAACGTCAATTTCGACAAGACAGCTTTGTTTTGATCTCACAACTACACACGTACTCTGTCTAAGTCTCCGGGGACTGGAATTAGCCGACTCTCCGCCTCCTGGATAGATTAATTCACTGGTTCCAACTATTCTTCGAGCTTTGTCATTTTCTGATTTAAGTCTTTTCTCTAAATCGTCCATTCGCTGTTGAAAGGAATATGTAGACGACATCTTGGATCACATGATAAATAAATCTCTTTTCAGGGTGATTCTAAAATAAGGTTTCAGTACGGTTTACGGATTTTCCTGCATAACGTAAAGAGTTACCGACGCATCGATTATTACGATTTTTTGAATAATAAAATGATAACGCCTGTGAAATAAAACAGATGCCGGATATCGGTTCCGAAATAAATATCCGACTTATTAATGAATGTATTCTTATCTAGTGATAGGAGAACAAAATAATAAAACTTAAAATGTCAAATAGTATACGTTGGTTCATCTATATACACATAAATATTTCTTTAAAAAAAACTGTAATTTTTTTTAATATTGCCAAGAATTCAAAAAATATAAATGAGCATCGCATTTGAGTGACAGAGGATACAAAACGTAATAGATATCTAATTCCTGTTTAGTTTGTTTTTCCAAAAATGGAATAAGTATGGCTGTAAAAAGAGAGGAACCTTTTAATAACAATATTCTGCCCTTCAATAACATCGAGATTACCGGGCCAGATATGTTACCGTTTTTCCTACGCTTCTCATCTGATCTTTCTTTTATAATCGCCATAGTGATCTCATTGAGAAATATTCTATTTCTTTGTGCAACATGAAGCTGGACGTATTTGATGTTCGTCGGTTTGCCTGTTGGTTCTGTTGTTGCATACATTGTTCTCATTTGAGAACGTGACATTACTTACTTGGATTGACAAAGGTTTACATGGCGGGTGTCATCGATGAAGCAGGAGGCGCTTACTCTTCCGGAATTCCTGGTCTTATTCTCCTTGTACTTTATCAGGAGTTTCCGTGTAAATCTTTCTTTTGTTCATATTTTGCCCTAGTTTTATAGGATTTGCGTTTGAATTATGATTATACTGCCATGTTGGTATTTTCTTGATTTTTTTTCCAAAAATGATTTCCTGACTTTTCTCCAATGGGAAAAACTTCTGTTGTCCGCTACCTAATTATAACACCGTTCTAGATTTTAAACCAGTTTTTTTTTATTTTAGAGAATTTTACCGTCTTCATGCAGCATGTAAATATCTCAACACATATAGACAAGGATAGAGAAAATATTTGACTCAAGGAACTCCATTCAATGCAACTGCTTCTTTTTTACACGAAGTAATATTTTTGGTCTCAAAATCAAAACTGAATACCATTGATGGATGTAACACAAGTATTTTCAAATTGTCACAAAGAATTTACGCCATCAAAATATTCTATATATAGCCATCGGTTTCTTAATTTGATCAAATAAAAGGTTGTTAAACAAATGAACTTTTGAACCAAATTGTAGCTCAAGTAGTTCAATACTGAAAACCTGTGTTATTGATATTGTGCAAATACTTGATTGTCTGTAGTTTTCAACTTTAGTTCGACTTTATCAAAGACAGCTTTACTTTTCTTAGCTTCATTTCGTCTAATATCAGAGAAAAATGTTATTGGAACTTTCAAAATGGCTGCCCCAGTTTTTAATAATATGGCTGGTATGCCTGTAAGACCGTTGGTGCCCATACCGCCATGCATTATTAATACCTGTGTACCATTCTGGGACATCGTTATAATCATGGACAAAAAGATATATAACATGTAAAGGTTATATCGAGATTGAAGTGAATGTTTAAAAACATGTTTCGGTAACTTCATCTCGATTAAATAGTGGTCTTATTTCCTTCAATGCTTCCGCTTTAGCGGTCAAACCCAGGACCTCTGGTTTTAGTCCAGTCAGTTTTACATGGTTCAGCTCAAATTAATTGCAAATTTATAACTTTTTTCACATCATAATGGTTGCCATATGGCATATACATTGTAACAATAAAGTTTATGTGCCCACGCCCCTTACCCTTAGTTTGTCTAAACAATGTTTTGTTTCCAATATTTACATATTACAAGTGTGATATTAAATAATCTAACATATTATGTACAAAACGGGATAATTGCTCTCCTTACCGTTTTGGATCTTTTCAGCATCAGACACAACAGCGAAAAGCAGAGAATGGCCCAATCATCTTATAATACAAACAACGTTAGTGAACAATGATTACTAAAACAATATTATCTCCCTATGGAACTTTTTTTTCGTGAGAGGAAGGGTCGTTTAACGGGGAGATGTGAGTGTACACATATGGAAACTTTACATGCCATACAGTGTCGAAGTGGTTGGAGATCAGGTGAGATACAATTTTCTAGAACAATGTTGTAATTTGAGATATCCTCTTTTATCTTTTCATAAATAGTTAATTACATGTATTTGAATACATGACCCTTGATGTGTGTCGGTATACGACTTAGGTTGTCTGGAATCAGTAGTCATATTTACAACCTCTATTTTATGTACTCTACTCTTACCTTCCTATTTCCAAAATGCATTCTATAACATTAACTCGCTTTTGATACTTATTGTTCAGTCAAGGTCAATGGGTTCTCCTGTGTTCTGACAAGAAGTTGTTATTTTCGTTATAAGGACTGATAATTTCAGCATCAGCTCGTATGCATAATCAACTCTTGTCGTGTTCAAGACACGACATTGTAATGCGAATGTACTTTAAAATAGAACTCGACCTTATCATTTGTGTACAATTTCTTTGTCACGGCTGCATGAACAGGGAACAACAAAAACTTACTAATATTCAAATATATTTGCCAATGTAGTTTATTAATAACATATGTACCGGCAGATGAAAACGCCACTGTGAAACATTATGCATTGATCAGGAAGCGTTCTCGATGATTACAAGGGGATGTTTGTCAGTCGCGAAAGCATGCAGAAAGTTTGAAGTTGCAAAGTTTAAAGAGTCGTATACTCAGTAAACAACGAGTTAAGAAAGTCTTCGAAAATACCGTTGTGTTGACAGAAATCATCCAAACTCAAAACACGTTCAACATTGACAGTACCCATGACTCTTAACAGTAGATAAATCTTTAGGCCCCCGATACAAACAGGAAATCAAACATTGTTAAATGAGGGGCCGAAAAATATTAGTTCCTATAGTAAGACATAGAATACGGTATACAAGATATTTCATATAGTGTTTCTGGAGAATACTAGTTGATGTATGTCACGTCTCCAGTTAGTCCCTGTCCTGGCAGAATATTTATGGTCAGTATAGATAAGAGATTTGCAGGCGAGGGTCTTGTTCTACTATGTTTAACACTGTCCTTACAACAACTAGGATTGACCTCCGGACAGATCAATGCTTATCTTGAAATTCCAGTACTATTAATTGAACGGAACAGCCATCTTGATGTTGAGCAACGTACTCATGACCGTTTCTATGTCGCCAATAATTATCCCGCGCTGGATGTCATTCGTCGTTCCTAATTTACATTTCTCTCTGGTTAATTTGTATTGTGGCATTGTCATGCAAATATCACATAAAGAAAACGGGTTACGTAAACTATACCCTTTTCGCTCGGCCTTAAATTAATATTGATAACCCGTGTCCCGTAAGTTCGAGCTCGAGTTGACAATGATAATGTTTCAGGTTATGAGGATCTACAAACTTGAATTGCTGATAATATCTAGGTGTAAATTATCTTTGTGTATAGCGGTGTCTTGTCCTGTGTATAGTGGTATCCTGTCAGTGTCTATAGTGGTATCTTGTCAGTGTTTATGGTGGTATCTTGTCATGTATATAGTGATATCTTGTCAGTGTTTATGGTGGTATCTTGTCGGTGTGTATAGTGGTATCATGTCGGTGTGTATATTGATATCTTGTCATGTGTATAGTGGCATATTGTCATTGTGTATAGCGGTGTCTTGTCATGTGTATAGTGGTATCTTGTCAGTGTCTATAATGGTATCTTGTCAGTGTTTATGGTGATATGTTGTCATGTATATAGTGGTATCCTGTCAGTGTCTATAGTGGTATCATGTCAGTGTGTATAGTGGTATCTTGTCATGTGTATAGTGATATCTTGTCAGTGTTTATGTTGGTATTTTGTCGGTGTGTATAATGGTATCATGTCGGTGTGTAAAGTGGCATATTGTTTGTGTGTATAGTGGTATCTTGTCAGTGTTTATGTTGGTATTTTGGCGGTGTGTATAGTGGTATCATGTCGGTGTGTATAGTGGTATTATGTCGGTGTGTATAGTGGTATCTTGTCAATCCGAATAGTGATATCTTGTCAGTGTTTATGTTGGTATTTTGGCGGTGTGTATAGTGGTATCATGTCGGTGTGTATAGTGGTATCATGTCAGTGTGTATAGTGGTATCTTGTCATGTGAATAGTGATATCTTGTCAGTGTTTATGTTGGTATTTTGTCGGTGTGTATAATGGTATCATGTCGGTGTGTAAAGTGGCATATTGTTTGTGTGTATAGTGGTATCTTGTCAGTGTTTATGTTGGTATTTTGTCGGTGTGTATAGTGGTATCATGTCGGTGTGTATAGTGATATCTTGTCGGTGTGTATAGTGATATCTTGTCGGTGTGTATAGTGATATCTTGTCGGTGTGTATAGTGATATCTTATAGGTGTGTATAGTGATATCTTGTCGGTGTGTATAGTGGTATCATGTCGGTGTGTATAGTGGTATCATGTCGGTGTGTATAGTGATATCTTGTCGGTGTGTACAGTGATATCATGTCGGTGTGTATAGTGATATCATGTCGGTGTGTAAAGTGGCATATTGTTTGTGTGTACAGTGATATCTTGTCAGTGTATATAGTGATATCTTGTCGGTGTGTATAGTGATATCTTGTCGGTGTGTATAGTGATATCATGTCGGTGTGTAAAGTGGCATTTTGTCGGTGTGTACAGTGATATCTTGTCAGTGTATATAGTGATATCTTGTCGGTGTGTATAGTGATATCTTGTCGGTGTGTATAATGATATCTTGTCATTTGTATAGTGGTATCTTGTCAGTGTTTATGTTGGTATTTTGTCGGTGTGAATGGTGGTATTATGTCGGTGTATAGTGATACCTTGTCGGTGTGTATAGTGATATCTTGTCAGTGTACATAGTGATATCTTGTCGGTGTGTATAGTGATATCTTGTCATGT